TCATTCACTAAGCGCTGTTCGCGCGTCAGTCTGATATGTCTTGCACTATCTACCTGATCTTCAGCCTTAGAAACTTCTTTGCTATTGGTGATGCCAAGAAATGCTGAAGCCATTTCGCTGATGTGAATGTCATTTGAGTTCAGAGTAGTCATGACGGTGAGTGTCCGATATGTCTGATCTTGGATAGGAATAACACAGGCTTTGGCCAGTGTATCAAAGTGAGAAGGGTTCAGTGCAAGACGTGAGGAATTGGATTTGCACGCATGAGCAAAAAGTCACTGTCAAGGTCCATGCAAATCTAATTGTTCAGTGATGGCTGGAGATAGTCACCGCTTCTGACCTCTACAAAAGCTAACATTATTGTCCTTGGAATGCTATATAACAGTGGTGGATATCAGCTCCTGGCTCGAAGGTCAGAGCTATGACGCACGGTTTGTGACAAGTGACACGCCAAGGTTTGGTGAATCCGTAGTTGGTCCATGGTCAGGTGACAGTTATGTGATGACAACACATCGAGTATCACAGGATTCAGACTTTCTAATGGCCCCACCAGGTATGATCTGCCGCGTGGGATGATCTCGGGCACTTTGGCGAGGTCTCTGTCGGGTACTCTCCGAGCTTTGTGTGGAGTTGTCCCCCGAACGGTCATGGCTGCTCAGCTAATCGTAGTCAAGCTCTTCGACAGCGGAACGTGGATTCATATAAAAACTCGGAATGTCAGTGGATGATGATTGCTTAGCAGGAAGGTTTACTTAGGTCTGATGGATGAGGATGGCTTTCTCTCAGTGAATTATATTCCTTTACAACATGTCTCACGGCTTCAGCGGACGCTCTATGAAGAACCACAGTGTTCTTGGTCAGGCCGCCGTCTGTATCACCGATCAGATGGCTGACCTTGCTGCCTGGGATGGTTCCAGCTGTGACCCCATCACTCGTAAGACCACTCTTACCTGCACTATGGGTCCCTCTGATTGGGATGTCGAGACTTTGGTCAAGATGATTAACCAGGGACTCAACATCGCTAGGTTCAACTTCTCCCACGGTGACTTTGAGAGCCACAGCAAGTGCCTTGCCAACCTTAAGGAGGCTCTCAAGCAGTGCCCCGGCAAGCACGTTGCTGTCATGCTCGATACCAAGGGACCTGAGATCCGTTCGGGTTTCTTTGCTGCTGGTGGTAAGGTCGAGCTCGAGGCCGGTCAGGACTTGATCCTCACTACTGATTACTCCTTCAAGGGTGATGCTCACAAGATTGCCTGTACCTACCCCAAGCTCCCTCAGAGCGTCAAGCCCGGCTCCATCATCCTTATGGCCGATGGTACGGTTAACCTGGAGGTTGTTGAATGCTACGAGGACAGCGTTAAGACTCGTGTCTTGAACCACGCTATCATCGGTGAGCGTAAGAACATGAACCTCCCCGGTGTCAGGGTTGACCTTCCCTGCATTGGTGAGAAGGAGGCCAACGATATCCTCAACTGGGGACTTCCCAACGGAATCGATTTCATCTCCGCTTCATTCGTCCAGCACGGTGATGATATCCGTGGTCTCCGTAAGTTGATGGGTGAGGCCGGTAAGAACGTTCAGATCATCTCCAAGATCGAGAGCACTGAGGGTCTCAGGAACTTCGATGATATCCTCGAGGCTTCCGATGCCATTATGATCGCTCGTGGTG